TGGGTATAAATAAAACAGTTTGAGACTACTAAATGACGAAATATAGAAAACACATATATACATTAAGTAAATACTAAAAGCCATTTAATTTTAAATTCGGTTTGTGAGTGAAAATAAACGTGTTGTGTATTCTAGTACATACTAATTGTAAAAAGCATTCTAGAATCATAATTTATACATTCTTTTGCCAAAAAAAAATCTAAGCACCAAGAAAGACTTTTGCGATCGGGACGAAATTTGGTATGCAAAAACATCTTGATCGAACATGCAAATGATCAAAGATTCAAGGCATATGAACATGAATTACGATCACAGTGTGCATATCTAGTGCGCAGTTCGCAAAGTATAGAACCAGTAACAAAGGTGGAAAATTAATCTTTTTTTTTTTTTTTTTTTTTTCTTTTCTTTTTTTTTTCTGCTATTGTAATTCCGTAAAGAAGCAACTAAAGATGCCATTGCGACGATATCGAAGACCTTACAGACGACTAAACGATTTCGAACGTGGTCGCATGGTAGGGTTGCGTGAAGCTGGGTGGTCATACTGAGCAATAGGCCCCCACCTACAGCGTACAGACACTGTTGTGCAAAGTTGTTGGCAGCAATGGTTGCTACAAAGAAATTGCCGACGAAATAAAGGTTCTGGGAGGCCAAGGAGCACAAATTCGAGGCAAGATAGGAATGACTGTTCGCCAGGCCCCAACCGCTTCAACGGTATCATTGTAGACTATTCAACGCACTACAGCCACGTCTATACCACGTCATCCTGGGGCCATTTTCCAACAAGACAATGCCGGGCCACATACCGCTCGCATATCTCTGGACTGTCTGCGTGCGTTTGATACTCTTCCTTGGCCAGCAAGGTCACCAGACCTTTCATCAATCGAGCATATCTGGGATATGGTAGGTCGCCAGATTCAAGCACCACAAAATATCGCAGATCTGGAGCGACAATTGATGAATGCCTGGCAGAATGTGTCGCAGGATGACTTTAGGAACCTCTACCACTCCTTGCCTCGACGAATTCAAGCATGCATTGCCGCCAGATTCAGTTCGAGCAATTACTAATTTGAACTCTCAATGGGTGATTGTGAGCTGTGAACAGGTACTATGACCTTGATTTTTTAATCATTTTATTATCTGTGTATGAGCTATACACATATTCAATTTCATCAAAAACAACCACTTCCTTCATTACGCCTCGATTTGTTTGCAAAAGAGTGTAATTAAATAAGACAAATAAGCAAATGAAACAGCATTTTAAGATACAAAAAGCTACCAATAACAGCTGATATTCAGAAAAAAAAAAAGACAAATTTCTACCAGACACATTTCTTTTACGGAATGATCAGATCTCAATTTGTTGAAAACAAGGATCTCATCCTCAGCATTAAAATCTGTGTGTACAAGAGCGAATACGAATTTCCAGCGTTGCTGAAAATATCCGACTGAACTGATACTTTAAAAAGCAGAATTGTTTCTAACTTAAATAAGAGATAATATTTATGAACTTTTAAGATTCTGTGGCAAGACAATCAGTTTTTAAATGTTCATGAATATTTGTATAAAAAAGTTACCCATTATTTGGCTACAAACAAATGTAATAATTACTAAATTTAGGTTAATCTTAATTATATTTTTAATTTTCTACAGTGAGATATTATTACCCGAAAAAATCCTAATCAATTTATTTATGCTGTATCGTCGGTTTGAAAGTATTTCATAGTATATATTCAATTAAATGGCATTAGTGTTTTTTATGTTTCATGTTGTTTTCAGATGCTTTAAATAATTCAGACATACTTTTATTGATATTACATTCATTAAAATTTAATATATCTTCTACATTTAACTAAGGAATTCTTCTATCAAAACCTTTCATTAAATGCAGCAAGCTACTGTTTTCAAAAGATAAATTTCGTTTTGAATTTACCATTTACTCTATGACTTCATATTTTATGGTAATACATTACATTTTTGACTTATAGAACATGCACAGATGTAGTTGAATACCACTAAAAGCCTTTAGAGTAGCAAAAAAAAAAAAAAAAATGTTTCAGTAGGAAGGATTAAAGAATATTCTGCAGACTGTCCAGCTTAGAAATGAATATTTTTCAAAATCAAAATTCAGATTGAATTCATAAAGTATTGTGTAGCAAAAGTAATGTGTCTTTGAAATTTCGCTTGGAGGCAATACAAAATTAACAAAAGGAAAAATATATAATATTTTTTTCAATTTTATGTTACTTGTAATTGAGTCCACTTACTAGATTTTTATGAATTCGAAATCATACCGACAAGAAAACTATTCCAGGTGTTACAAATTTTAGAAACTTTTCATTGTCTAGTATGTCCAATGAATTAACACACTGGACACCATTTTCCTTAATTCAGATTTACAGGAATTTCGAATTATGTAATTTCAAAATAACGATAGCTCATTCTTTTTTTAAGATTACATTATTGCAAAATTAAATTTGCTAGATGTAAAAGATATTCACATTTTGCGCAGCATAACAGATGCAGAAAATTTACAATTTATTCATGCAATTAATAAAATCAATAAAGAAGAATTTATGCTTTATTATGTATTGAAAGACAGAAGCACTTTTTTCCAGCATTTAACAACACAGTTACGAGCATTCCCAACATAATTAACGTGCAGATCAGGAAATGGTGATTATAACAGAAAAAACGTGCGTGATGAGATGGTACAGGAAGTCAAGTCATCTAGAACTCAGCCAGAGGCATTTTTGATTTTAATTTAAGAAAAATCCTCTAACTGCATAGTTTATTTGGAGCAATTTCCGGAAATCGAAAGCATTCTCCATCAAAAAAAGCTCTTTGAAGACCTGTTGGATACACGGATTTTTCTGCGAATTTCCAGAAATGTTTTTTAGATGCTAGCCTGGAATTAGCTATGACGGTTCCAAAACGGTTTTCGGAAAACAAAGCTTAGTGCGCATGGCATGCAAATTTTTCAGGAAATGAAAAGCGGCAATAAATCCTGTTATCAACCATGCGCTATAGAAACGGTTAAGTTTTAGATAAAAGTAACTAGTGCTTAAAAGAAGCATTTGTGTGAGGTAGTTCAGATTGCAGTCGCAAAGGATTCTGTTTCCAGGAGCCCCTTCCATTATTAATTAATTTTTAAGTAGCAGTAATTTTACTTTATATCTTAAAATGAAAGATCCCCGAAAGTTTAGATGAAATGGACTCTCACTTCATAAATCTGCCACTAATTTTAAGTTTTTTTTTATACCAATAGGACAACGTTTCAAGTAGAGAACTGGACTTTGCTCAGACTAAGAAAACAATTTCTGCAGTCTTAGCGGATTCACAAATTCCTCCTTTTTATCATCCATCGATGACCTATTCGGAACCCTCTCTGGGGGTATTTTAAATTTTTGCTGTTTTCCATCTGCAACATTCTTTAGTATTCTTCTACAACAGCAGTGCTATTCTACAAGTTAACAGCAGACTATTTTGAGGCAACATGCAACCGAATGCACATTTCCAACAGAGCCAGTACCCTAAGTATGCTATACATGTATAAAAAACAGAGTCAGTACCCTATATAGCATACATGTATAAAAAACAGAGCCAGTACCCTATATAGCATACATGTATAAAAAACAGAGCCAGTACCCTATACAGCATACATGTATAAAAAACAGAGCCTATATAGCATACATGTATGAAAAACAGAGCCAGTACCCTATATAGCATACATGTATAAAATTTCTTGATGAGAAATACCCGAATTTTGGAACTAGTCCAAACGTATCATTTCGATGATCACCATGGTCTTCTACCACCATTCCGGTACCATGTTAGCAGGATATTTTTGCAAAGTTGTGCGAATAACAAAATATATGCAAAAGTGAAAATTGCTGTTGAAGAATAGGCGAAAAATCATATTGCACGTGATATTCCGAGAGAAAAATGTGAAATTTTTTTAATGAGGTATCACAATTTAAAAATTTGGTGGAAAAGTTTTTGTGCTCCAGATTTTGGGAAAGACCTTTGATCTTAAAATTTCATACTTTAAACCCTTATAATTTATAGTAAACTTTTAATATTTTTATATTTTTCTCTTTATTGATTTTCTTAATCAGGTGAATAAATTTTAGATACCTTGAATATTCATCAGATGAATTTAAATTATGGATAATAATTCTTTGACAAAAGCTCATACTGGGATAATATTACCTGAGATAATATTTCCTAGATGAATAGCAATCGAAAACTGCTAAAGCAATGTAATACGGTGTGTAATTTATATAGTTTCAGAAAGATTGGTATATTAATTAAATTCTAATAACTATATTGTTTACAATAATTTGACATAATCTTTAATGTTACGAGTATCTGAAGTTAAAGTTTAATTGATATTTTATCATAAAATCATTTCTCCTTTATATCTCCAATTGCTAAACGGCTTAATTAAAAATAGGATTTATATGTTAAAATAAGACAAGATTATTTGAGGTAAACAAAGTTGCTTAATGTTACATTCCTCCTTCTGTGTATCAATCGAAATTCACCTGCTTCACTTTTGGAATTAATTGAAATTGTGAGTCTCATCCACACAGTGGAAATATTGTTTATGTTTTCGGTTTACAGAACATCATAACATGCTGAGAAAATTATGAAAACAAACATTAGAAACAAGGATGCTGAAAAGTTCTGTTGCTGACCTAAATTTCCTTTCATTGTTCTGCCGATATTCCACAGACCTAATTGAATGATTTTGAATAAATTATTCTTAGATAAAATTAAAACAATAACAGCACGCGGATCGTCTTGCGAATGTGTTTATCTTAAAGGAACTTCGATTACAATACCGATATAGTCGTTGCCTTTGAAGATTAGAGTCACAGACATAAATAAAGAGGCGTTGTGAATTGAAATCATTCTCAGTAGTAACAGAGAAAAGTAAATAAGAGGTAAAACCTTCAGTTATTGTGTTAAAAAATTAATAAGATTGATGAGGTGCTTACCTGCTGTTTGGTGTTTTCCTTTGTGGTGCCCGGATCTTGCTTCTCCGGTTCGTTGTTATTTGTAGAATCGGATTTGGCTGTAGGCGCGACATCGTTTTTCATGCACTCCAGTGATCTGCTAAAAATTAGAAAAATTGCTGTTAGATCTAAAGATCGTAAAATAAGTACTGTAAAAATACACTGTATAAATTGTGATGATATAAAGTAGGATAATAAGAGGGGTTTTAGACAAAGATATTTATTTATAAAGGTGACGCTTCTCATGAAATATAAAATTTCTCGGTATTACGTGACTGTTAAAAGTCTTGAAATCTACGCAGATGGAAATTTTGGCTAAATACTTATCTTTTATTCACTTAGAAAAACAAATTTTGAATAGTAATAAATTTCGAATTTTGATGTCAAACAATGAATTCTTTAACTAGTGTTGGAGAGACTTGTAAGATTTTCAAAGCGAGAAATGTGAAAAATCAACTGTGCCCTCATGAGGATTCGAAAAAATGATCTTTCACACTTAATGATTACATTTTTAGTTTGTGACCCTCAGTAGAGATTCTTAAACACATCATACCAGGAAACATGAAACATTTATTGTGCCTTCTCCAGGATTCGAGCCACGTATCTTTTACCTGCTAATTAGACGTGTTAACCCCTTACGTCACTACAGCGCGTATGGGGAATGCGACAACTTCTTACATATCACATTTCTCCATCCGCAGAACAGCTAGTCCCACATGTTAATACATTTCAGGGTATTACGTTGTGTCGACGGTGTTACCTATCAATAAGTACAGGCTATATCCTTGGATGGCTGAAAACCAAAAGGCCTACGACCGAAAGTGGGGAAGTACAAAACGGGAATTTCACTGTAGAGAATATAGTTCTTAACATAGACATGGTTATAGTATGGGTTACCAGCAATGTATGAAAAACATGCATTCTATGGAATATCTAAGCAATATATGGAATGCCTGGTATTTTGGGGCAGAGTATGAAATATCAGAATCATTTTTAATAATTTATATATTTTCTTAGATATTATATGCAACAGACATGAACTGTAGAGAATAATAAATGCTATTTTGGTAAAGTGTTTTTAAAGAGTTTTTACAGACGTTATGTAGAACTTGACAGTAATAACTTTTTAACATGTTAAACCATTTTGCTTTTGCTTTCAGAAAACATAACGATATAATGATGAATTATTAGCCCCGCTGCTACTTCTTAGTAGTTATCTTCGCCTTTTCCTCACCAGCTTGTACAAGTAATTGTTTCTGTTTGAAAAACCTTATTTTTGCAGCATTGACTTGCACTTCAGGTTCTTCATTCTAGAATCGTCATTGTAAGTTAACGCGCCGTGATTCCTTCTCGGACAACATATTATGAGCTAGAATCTTTACTGACAAAAATTCAAAATAGCGTATTTCGTTCCCCTTCGAACAAAGACTAAATTGCAAAGACAAATTCTCCGTCTGAGGCTAACTTCGAAAGTCACATTTACAAACATCATTAGCGGAAGTATTTCGCATTTTACGAGATTGTCTTTTGGCATTACATTGACTGCCTAAGAAATCTGTGAAATGTTATTCCATACTCTGGCATCCAGTTTTCGAAAAATCTGTACATTGTCTAAGGCGTCCTATACAATGTCTGTTTTTATACATTGCTCGTAACATATATGTTATACGACACCAGTTATTATTATGATTCTGATCTTTACATTAACTTCTCCTTTCCGTATTCCTCACCAGAATGCAAATTAGCTTTTAATGTATTTAAGGTTTAGGATCTTAAGAGGAAGAAAGTTTCTTGCACTCCGCTGCGCTTTTAAACATTTGCCAGCTCTGTCTATGAGATATTATTCCGGCATTTGAATTCTATGGCAGCCAATTGCTTTAAACGTACGCACTGGTAAAGTTAGTTGAACCAGCTTATACCTTATTTATTTGCCTGCGTAGTCTTACCGATAGACTTTGATAAAAAGCAACATTTATTCTTGATGGAATTGCATCGCCACAAGTTGTGCACGGCACAAGTCATGCCAGTTTTGGTTATAGCTTAATAAAAAGGTGGTTTTAACTTTCATAAGTCTCTGTCATACTAATTTTAGACATAGCGATAACTCGCCATGCCTTTATTGTCTCTCAAGAGGTTGTAGTACTTAAATTCAAGTACCAGCTCAATTAAAACCTTACAAGTGGCGCCTGAGTAGAGACTTGCGAAGGTTAAAAAAATCTTTTTATTAAACTGAACTTTAACAGTAAATGTCACGACTTGTGCTGCATATAAGCCTCTACTTGTGGCGATGTTATTTCATAAATAACAAATACTTAAATTTAAAAGTTGATTAAAGCAGTCTAATATTACACAGCAGTATAATATTGCACAGTCAAATACATGAGCTGGCTGGACTAACGTTACCAGCGCGTACGTTTAAAGCAATCGGCGGCGAGAAAATGTAAAAGCCAATAATATCTTTTAAATAGACATGGTAAAATCTAAAAGTTATTGCCAAATTTGTTTCTCTTGAGACTCAGAATCCTCAGTTTAAATTAAAAGATGATTTGCATTTTGATGGGGAATACGAAATGAAGAAATTAACGTAAAGATCAGAATCAAAATAACTGGTTAATTAACATAAGAAAGAACCTTACAAGTTCTCTGTGAGGTAACATTTCTCTTGTCTCCCAGTGAGTTTCTTGGCCTTTACAAAACTGCGTTTTATAGATGATGTTTTATCGGAAGCATTGTATATTATCAATTATGACATTAAACACGAAATGCAATGAAAAATGATGATATTGGTAGCATTGATGTAACGAAAGCCAGCTGGAATGGGCATCAACAATTTGCCCTATTTGGAAACCTGGTAAATCCTCATTTGTTTTTACTTTACTTTAATTTTACAAACTTCAAATTATAACTCATTTAAATGCAACTTTGAGAATATATGGGAAACATTTACAGCAAAAGAAAAATTGTAGATAATTTTACATTTTAATATATTAAAAATAGACAAAATTATTTATGTGGGGTGTTTCCATTATATTTCAAAATCTTTATATATCGACGTTCCACTTGTTAAATTCAACAGAATCGCTGAGTAATCCCAAATATCTCTCTAAATCATTTAGTTCAGATTGAGTGAACAGCTGGTGTCTTGACTTCCTGTATCACACTAAAATTCTTCGTGATTTTTACCTGAATCATAATTATTTTGGTGGATTTTCCGGTGTTTCTCGCAAAAGCGGAACTGGTTTTGTGCCGTGAGGAACAAATAAAAAAATCTTCTGGAAAATCTGAAAAAAGTAAATAAATAAAGGAAAAGAAAAAAAAAAAAAAAAAAAGAGAAAAAAAGATTTTTTTTTAGTCCAAAGGGATTTGAATCCCGAAGGACTATTAGTTTCGTTTTGGCATTTTGCGTCGGACGGATAAATGTCGGTTTCACTTTTCAAACTGTTTGCCACCAAATGTTAGAGTCCTGCATTATATTTGAAGAAATTAAATAATGAAAATCTGCGTAAATGTATGTATATTTCTCGCATTGTGATAAAATAACGGTACATAGAGAGTCATCGAATTTGAATAACGTAATCCTTCAACTGCGAATATGGAGCATCTGGAAGACCAAATTTGAAATTTGAAATTTGTTTTATGATCGATTTCCTATTTTTTAAAACTTTGACGAATTTTTGATTAACAAACTCAAGGATTTCAAAGCGAGCAATGGCAACGTTGTGCAGAAAAAAACATTTTTATCTCCAGCGCGTGAGTCTCTGTATCGGAAATTCTAAAGATATGCTCGTTTTAAAACTATTTTGCGATATTGCTGTTGCACTGGATCTTATGGTTTAAGTGCGAGGAACATGATATTTAATAAAGAAAGGTAACACACAAAATGTTAAAAAACGCCCCTTTGGACGTAATTTAAAATCTGAAACATTTCAGATTTTTTTTTTATTATTTTTTATTTTATTTTATTTTTTTATTTATTTATTTATTTATTTTTTTAGTTATAGCCATTAATACGATAATAATAAGAATAGTTGCCTTAACGATTCTTTGACTTCTATAACTTTAGCTCACAAAATATCAATCTTCTCTTTTTTACACTTTAACGCTCAGACGCTCTTTTTCAATAATACTAGCAGATAAAGATTTGTGGAAGCAACTCATGGTTTGTTTTCATCTTTTAATTTTATTTCAAAGTATTTAAGTATGATACATACTTTTAATGAAAGTTATTACGTTCCTTCGAGATTTTTTGACCGCGGATTTCCCATAATGAAGAAAAATTAGCTAGACTGTCGATGAATCCATGACTAGCCATTATTCATGTTTTATAACTACATATCATAATAAGTCTCAAATTTAATAATTCGCGAAATTCGTTTAAAAGTTCGTTCGAGTTTCAAAGTACTTTAATGTACTATTACGAAATCGGAAAAATTTACCAAAAATTACTGAAAGAAATCGCATTAGACAGCTAGTGTCTTTTCTAAAATCAAAATTGTGTAAAAAAGAATTCACTTCTAAAACTATGCAGTGTTGCAGTATTTATAGTCATAGAATTCCTAGCAACTTCTTAAAATGTAACATTTTCTCGAGTTTTCCAGAATATCGCAAATTTTAACACTAAACATGGAAGAAATCTTAAAAAAAAAAAAAAAAAAAAAAAAAAAAAAAACAAAAAAAAAAATAATAATAATAATTCTTGGTAAAACTTATACTGATAAATTTCGAAGTTATAAAATAGCTTTACAGTCGGCCATTTTGAATTTGTATCCTGGTATACGAATTTAGGACCAAAAGCAGATTGGAAACATCTAAATAAAATTTTGATAAAATGTTTCAGAGCAGAAATATATTTACATTTTACTCTACTTAAGCATCTTTCGTATCACGCTGAAATACAATAACAGATTGAGAACAATAGAAATGCATTATGGCCTAGACCTAGAACTAACAAAAAGATTCAGTTTCCTCAAAGATATGACAATTAATATTTGAAGAATTCTTGATGCGATAAACCCTATATTTCATTGCTTAAATAAAATTAAAACCTGCTTAGTATTGATCGTTATAGTAAAAATGTATTCCAGTACATGCGGAGATAAT